AGTGTATAGGAATTTCAATGTTTCCTTCTATAGAAGCTTATCTTTCAAAAATAAGTATTCTCTTGAAGCAAAGGGTGCTATGATCTCAGAAAAACTACAATTTCAGGTGACCCACAGGACAATGGAAAGGCCCATTGTGAGTGAAAGTAGGCCTCTGTATGACATAAATGTAAGAAATAGCATAAAATACATCATTGAAGACATTTTTGTTGTTCATTTGTGTCCAACTCTTCATGATCCCATTTGGGGTTTTCTTGGCAGAGATTCTGGAGAGGTCTGCCATTTCCATCTCCAGCTCATTTTACAGATGAAGAAACTGAGGCAAATAGGGTTAAGTGACTTGCCCAGGGTCACACAGCTAGTAAGTGTCTGAGGCCAGACTTGAACTCAGGAAGAAGAATCTTACCTACTTGAGGCCTGGCACTCTATCCACTGCACCACATAGCTGCCAATTGAAGATGTATACAACCCTAAAAAGAGGTTGGTCTGTCATGTAGCAAGGACAGAGGTAACAGGCAGTTAAGTGTAGCACATGTATTTTCAAAAATAGGAAAAAAATACCAAAGGAAGTTCTCCATTGCAGTGGGTAGTTGCACTATGAAGGATTAATGGAGGGATATGGGAAGTAGCTGCATAGGATGACTAGGGGTGGATGGATGGCTTGTGTTCTGTACCAGAGTTATCATGGATATGACCACAGATTCACTACAATATAAGTACAAGAACCATTGTTTATAATATGCACACAACTTGAAAGGAATGACTCTCCAGTATGTGATTTGGACTGCTCCTTAATATGAATACATCTTACTCCCCTTCCTCCCACTCACTTTAACTCTGAATTAGTGAGGTTTTCTTTTTTTCTTTCATTCACAATTGTAATTTTCTTCCAAGGAATTCAATTAGATTCAAGTAAGCATCACGCCCTCTTGACAACCTTGTGAGACTGGAAAAAGGTTGGTATCACCCTTAACTTATTTAAAGGGAGATCAAAGCTTAGAGCAGATAAATGATTTGCTTGATATTCTTCAGTTCAAGCCAGGTAGAGTGACCTCTTCTGACTCTTACCCCTGCTATGTTTCCAAGTTGGGGTCGGGGTAAGGAATAGCTTGATTTTCTGGGCCCACATTAGCCAAGACTTAGTTCTTGCCCAGAGCTGCCTGGCTGCCTCTGCCATGTACTAGGAGCAGAGGGGCCCTATTGGAAACACAGGGAGTAGGCCTTCTTAATAGTAAATTACATGTGTAAAGCACTTGACCAATTTCAGTGGCTTTCTCATTTCATCCTCACAAGAGGTAGGCAGAGTGGTTTTTCTATAATGTAGGCCCATAGGACCATAAATCTTGAACTGGAAGGGATCTCAGAGACCCTCTGGTCCAAAACTCTCATTTTACAGATGAGGAAACTGGGCCTGTGGAAATTATGTGATTTGCCCCAAATGGCACACGTATTACATATCAGAGGCAGGATTTGAACTGAGATCCTCTGACTCCAGACCACCCTGCCTCATCCCAGCTTGGCTCTTGAGAAGTTGTGTCTTTGAGGATTGTTTCAGTGTTGCAGCTCCTGGTTGCTTACTGACATTTCCAGTTTGGCTGTAACCTAGTTCTCATTCTCTTCATCATTGGTTTCCCCCGATTGATTTTGAGAAGTGGACTTTCTTTTAGAGTGAAGGACCCTTTTGCTATTTTCAGTATGGAATAGGCTTCAGAGGGCAATCCCCCCCCCCCCCCCGAAATGTCCATTTCTTGCTCAGTCCCCTTGCCTTGTTCTTTGGTCATTTATCTAACAAGGGACATGACCCAGGAGCTGGGGAAAGCATAACACTTATACCAAAGGGAACCCTGGGAGGTGATAATCTGGGGTCATGCTGGTTTATGTTTATCAAATGCCATCCGCTTCAGAAGTCCCTGGCCTGGGACCCCCTCTGGGGCTCGAGTCACTATTGACATGGGAATCAGACCACAGCTCTGCAGTAGCTTTTTTGGAAAGATGTGGCATGAAGGGCGTTTTCTGGGGGGAGAAAAGCACTTACCATTCTGTTTCCACTCTTCTCTAAGGGAAAAAGCTGTAAGTTCTTGAGTGGATATGCGTGCTGAGGGCTACCGTTTTACAGGCTCACAGGCGAGTGAGAAGACACCTAAGAAGTCCTCCATTCCAGCCCCAGCATTTTATAGACGAGGAAACGGGAGTTTCAAAAAAGTTAGGCTACTTGGCAGCTGTTACACAGGCTGCGAGTTGCGAAGCTGAGATTCAAATCAGGTCCTCTGACTTCAGGTTCAAAGCTGACGACGTCTATTCCCTCGGGTCAGGATAACGCTCTTCAAAGAGAAGTTATCGGGAGAGTTTCTACCTCCCAATGAAAACCGAACGCACCCTAAGGCTACCGCAAAGCCGTCTGTGAGGTTCAAGTAGATTCCCTGCTGGACCATTCCGTCAGTATCTCTCCCTACCTCTAGCCCTCACAATGAACACACCGTGGTCCCCAGACACTGGTTTACTTCGAGCTTCCGGCAGCCGACTGAGTAATCCTCACGATATCCCTGTGAGGCAGAGAAGCAACAAGTCTTATCCTTTTTGCAGACAGAAAACAGGCACAGAGGGACGAAGTGACTGGACAGAAGTTACACAGCGAGAGATGGAATTAGGAGAATCCGGGTTTCTTGACTTAAGCGCCCGTTTCTCTTGTTACACAAACCGGTCTGTTTCTCCCGATGAGTATAGACGGAGAGTTGGTTAACCCGACATTCTCTTTAGGGCCATAAACTTTAAGACAAGTTGTCTTAGACACTGAACGGCAAGTGTTCACAAATACGAACAAACCTAACAACAGCAGCAGCAGCAGCAGCAAAACGCCAGTAGCTTAGACATGCATGAATGGGTCCACATGGCATGAAGCACATTCCCTTGGAAGAGGATATGATTTGCTTCCTTTTCCTTTTTAACTAGTTAGGAGATGGACAGCAGCATTTTCTGGCACTGATTTGGCTGTCATTAATTTTTCCCCCCATGAAAATGGGCTTTCAGGAACAAAGTTGCAGCCCAGCCCTACCAAAGGAGCTTTCTCACCTCCCTGGACAGGGAAGTCTAGTGATCCTGACTTAGCCGTTTACAGATGGAATCATTGGGTCAAGTCCATTGGAATTATTATTTGGGGAGTTTGGTGAAGTAAGTATTGCTGATGTGGTGAGATTCCAGCGCATCAGAAAAGACCTTCTGTCAGAATATATCTTTCCTGACCCTCTGCCACACTTTCTGACATGCCTAAATTGTTCTAAGGCATTGTCCTTTCCAAAAAAAGAAAAAAAGAAAGCAAATATTCTACTCTCCACCCCAACACATAAAGGGATCTTAGTGTGGATCGTTTCAGATCCTCTTCCTCTGTGGCAGCTGAGAGAATGGAGGCACAAAGGGAATAGAGATTTTGATGTAAAGGAAGAGTGTGAGGGCATTGTCCACTTGGAAGACAGGCTTGGGTAGGACAACAGTGAGAGAAATCATAGGCAGGTAGAGGTGGGGAGGAACAAAGATGGAGGGAAATGGGAGCAGAAAGGGAACCCTGGAAGACAACTTTTAACTACTTCACAAATTTTCGCAAGGCAGTTCCCCTAGTACTTTGTTGTTTTTCAGTCTTGTCCGACTCTTCATGACCCCATTTGGGGTTTTCTAGGCAAAGATACTGGAGTGGTTTGCCATTTCTGTCTCCAGCTCATTTTATAGATGAGGAAACTGAGGCAAATAGGGTTAAGTGACTTGCCCAGGGTCACACAGCTAGTAACTGTCTGAGGCCAGATTTGAACTTGAGTCTTCCAGACTCCATGCTCAGTACTCTATCCACTGTGCCAGGTCTACTTTCCAGACAAGGTTGAAGTTGACTTATGGTTTGGCTTAAGTGGGAAATTCTTGGTTTCCTTATGTCTGCTTCTTCTCAGGGAACAGGTCAGCCCTTGTCTAAATGTTTGCCTTTAGACAATGTGCTTCCAAATTTTCACTTATGACACTGATTCTGTTTGCTTCTGCATATACAACTGCATATACAATGCCTGGGAACAGTCTAAGAAGGCTATCTATACCACCTGGTGTGGGACTCCCTTTTCTGATGGGTCTGTTCAGAGGGACATGTTGCCTGCTCTAAGGGCCAACTCTGTCTGGGAGTCACCTCCAGCTGGTGCTTCCCCTCCAGGGACTGAGTCTGATCTCAGGCTTTGATGAAAGTTCAGATATCTGGCTAAACTACTGATCTTTGAAGAGAGAACAAAGGGATCAGAAAATAATGAGGGAAGAGAAGGGAAGGGAAGGGAAAGTGTGAAGATGCCCCTAAGACTATGTTGACTGAGAAAGGTTGTTTTGTAGACTGAGGGGAGAGTTTAGGGTATGACACTTCTCTTCCTCTGAAGGAGCTCTAGCTTAGGGTGGGACCTGAAGCCAAAGGGGTCTCCAACACTGGCCAATGAGAACCCAGGGAGTTCCTAGCTTGATGCCTTGAAATTGTACAGAACCTGGTGGGCTCTATTCTATTCTCTAAACTGTAAAACAGCTGTGGCTTGGCTACAAGGTTGACAAGATGAGACTACAAAGCAATGAGACATCTCCATGAGGAACACATAAAATCACTACCTGTCATGGCTCCTATGGGTGGGAGGTACATGGACTGGGTCAGTGAGAAGGCTAAGACTTGTAGCCACTCCAAGACTCTGGTCAAATGGGCTCCTGAGATAAAATGGGGCCAAGAAGGACTTTGGGGGTGAAGGAGTGTGGAAAACTTCTGACACTTGGGGATGCTATCTATTGGCCTCAAGGTAATGGGTCTGCTTTGATGGCCTCTGGGGAAAGGAAAGAGTTTCTAGAAAGGGGTCATTTCATAACAGGCTTCATCTACCATTACACTAGAGGACCGTTCCAAGTGAGGGATAAAAGAATGAGAGATAACATTCAAATCATTTAAAAAATCTTTTCTTCTCTTGCCTTCTTTCTTTGCTTCGTGTTTGTTTGGTTCCTTCTCATACAGTCAAATCATCCGACCTTGCCCGGCTGCTGGCTTTGCTTAGCCGGCTGAGGGGTCTGGTGTCATCCGCTGCCAGCTCTGGGCACAGTGGCGCCTTCTCCACTGGCAGCTCCGGCAGCTCTGGCTTATCTCCTGCCTTCCTTTCTATTGGGGTCCCCGCCTTCTCCTTCTCCTCCTCTTCCTCCAGCCCCACAGTGGCCTCCGGCGCCTCCGGGGTCACTGCCTCCGGTTCCTGCCTCTTCTCTTCCTCCTCTGGCGGCGCCTTTGCCTCCTCCTCTTCGCGCTCTGCCTCTACTTCTTGTTCTCCCACTTGAGCATAGGAAGGGAGCGTTTCCGTGTAAGCTCGGGACAGATCTCCCAGAGGTCCAGTGCCAATCTTTTCTTCGAAACGGCTGAAAGGGGTAGCAGCAAGAGGTCTTGTCTCCACCACCCCGACCTCAGTCAGGGGGAAATAGTGGGACACGATTTTCTCTTCTTCTAGGAGCTGGTAGCCCTTGGCCTTTTGGATGGAGGAGACAGCGATGGAGTGGAGGGATTTCTCAGGGATTTCCCCCAGGGGTTGTTCAGCGGGCCTGTTGAAAGCAGATCGGATTCTCTTCATGCCCAGGTGGCTGATTTCCATGATGTTGAGGAAGAGGGATACGGAGGCCACAGACAGCATGAAAAGGATGAAAATGGTTTTCTCGGTGGGTCTTGACACGAAGCAGTCCACCACGTTGGGGCAGGGCCATCGGCTACACTGATACAAGGGCAGGATTCGGAAACCGTACAAGAAGTAATGTCCCACGATGAAGCCCACCTCAAAGAGAGTCTTAAAGATGATGTGGCAGATGTAGGTCCTCAAGAGGGTCCCTTCCAGCCGGAACTTTTTGGTGCCCTTGGTACTGTTACTGCTCTTCTTGGTACTGCCTTGATCCAGGGCCAACGGTAGCCTCTCCCCATTGCCCCCAGACTGCTGGCACATCTCCTCAGCTTCCCTCTCCTTCCGCTTTTCTTCCATCCGGACGTGATGCACAGCATGGCCCACGTACACTAGGGATGGGGTGGAAACGAAGATGATCTGTAACACCCAGAGGCGGATGTGGGAGATGGGGAAAGCCTCGTCATAGCAGACATTCTCACAACCTGGTTGTTGGGTGTTACATACGAAGTCCGACTGCTCGTCTCCCCACACAAATTCTGCCGCCGTGCCCAGGATGAGGATCCGGAAGATGAAGAGGACAGTGAGCCAGACCCTGCCGATGACGGTGGAGTGCTCATTCACCTCCTCCAAGATGTTCCCCAGGAAACTCCAATCACCCATTTTTCACCCCCTAGGGGAGGAAGAGTACAAAAAGAGTGAGTGGACGAAGCATGAACCATTTGCCTTTTTGCTGAGGCAGCACAACTTAGCGGCGAGGACACTGGATTTAGTCACCTGAATTCAAACCTCATCTCTGACACTCGCTAGTTGTATGGCCATGAGAAAATCACTTAACCTCTCCTGTTCGTCTCTAAAATGGGAGGGTTTGGACTTGATGAGGGGCAGCTAGGTGGCGTCTTAGTGCATAGAGGTTTGGGCCTAGAGTCGGGAAGATTCCTCTCCCTGAGTTCAAATCTGGCCTCAGACACTAGCTGTGTGACCCTGGGCAAGTCACTTAACTCTGCCTCAGTTTCCTCATCTGTAAAATGAGCTAGAGAAGGAAATGGCAACACCCCTCCAGTATCTCTGCCAAGAAAACCCCAAATGGGCTCTGGACAACAGTTGGACTTGATGAGTTCTAAGGCTCCATAGCTCTAAGCCTATTATATTTTTTATATTATTGAAAGCATCTCCCTTTCCCTCCCCTACCACTGTCCACAAAACAATGCCAATATGTAGGGTTGCATGAGCCTTTGACCAAGGCAGGAAGCCCAGCTTCTAGATTCACCTTTAGCCCTAATTCTCAGTGTGTTTGTCAGTCAGTTATCAGATGGTTTACCATAAGTATGTTCACTGGGTGGAGAGCAGGTTTTACTGGATTAGGGTGGCGGCAAAGGACAAAGAAGAGGAAGGAAATGAAAGACTCCTAGGCAGCCTTTTCATTTCTGAAATGAGGATCATCCTACCCATGGCCTTTTGCTTTATGGGAATGCCATGAAGATAAGAGGTGACGAGGACCCTCTCTACCGATGCAGCTCAGCACCTCCTCTGTAACTTCTCATTTGGAAGGGTTGCCTAGAACCCTATGAGTGCCCAGGACTGCACAGTCAGTGTGTGTCAGAGGCAGGACTTGAATGGTGGTCTTTCTGACTTGGAGGCCTGCTCTCCATCCATGACATCATAGTCCATCTCTGTGAGTGTGAATGGGATGATATTTAATGACACAAGTCTATTAAAAATGCGTTTGACACAAAGAAATGGAAATTGTTTTTATAACATGGAAGATTATTACATGGATTTGAATATATGCCACAAATAAGTTCATCTCCTTTGAAATAGAACTATAAACAATGAATATAGATATATTCAATATAATAGATATAGATATATAGATAAATAGAATAACTATAAACAATAAATGCAAACATATTTAATATAATAGATACATAGATAATAGATATATATCAATAAATAGAACAACTATAAACAATAAATGTAGGTATATTTAATATAATAGAGATATAGATTATATATAGATATAGATACATAGAACACCTATAAACAATAAATGTAGATATATTTAATATAATAGATATATAGATTACATATAGATAGATATAGATAAACAAATAAAACAGCTATAAACAATAAATGTAGATATATTTAATATAATAGATGTATAGATTATATATGGATATAGATAAATACAACAGCTATAAACAATATAGATATATTTAATATAATAGATATATAGGTTTTATATATATATATATATCGAGAGAGAGAGAGAGAGAGAGAGAAAGAGAGAGATAAATAAATAGAACGACTATAAACAATAAAAGCTTGACATAACAATTAGTCTATAGTTTGGCTCTTGGTCCCACACTACGCTTTGCAGACATGGGTGAATGGCCTGATCTATTTCTTGGCTCACTGTTCTGATTTTGAGCATGTGTTTTTTCTGTATTTGAACCCAGCCACACTGGGGTTCAGGGATATAGAACATGAGGTTACTCCAGCCAACTCTGTTCTTAAACTAATGACATTGATGTATCATTGCTAAACCCAAACCTTAACGTTATAAAAGTTTACTTCAACAAATTACATCCTTTTGACCAATTGGTTGATATCAACTCAGACCTCCCTAGTGTTCCTTGCCTTAGCCTAGTTTATGTTGGCTCAGCCCCATCACACCAATCTGCCTGACTCCCACTGTCCACCCCCCCTCCGCCCCACCCCATGCTAGTGCCAGCTTTTCTCTGGTCATCCTGTTTAAGCTTCCTACCCTGGTGAAGTGAACTTCCTACCTTGGTACAGTCAGCTCTGGACTTATGCTGGATCACATTGGCTTAACACTGTTCTGGCGCCTGCCTCCTCTAACTCCCTTCTAGGAGTATATCTCCCATTTATAGTAGTGCTCTTTTGACATTAATTGCCCTCTGTTTTTATATGTGCTTTCACATATCCAATTACCACAGCTCATTGAGGGCAAGGGCTGGTCCACTTTTGTATTTGTATCTCCAATATTCAGTGCAGTGCTTGATAAATGAATGCTAATCATTCATTTATTCATCTCCCCCCAGCACCTCAAGCATATTTGATTTCATGGTAGATGCTTAGTCAACATTTATTGATGACTATTGAATATTGGCTAGTGTCTTGGTTGGCTAGCTCAATTCTAGGTGCTGGTAAAACAAAGACAGTAATGAAACAGCATCTTCTATTGAGGGGATATGATATGCAACAGATGAGTAGACACAAGGCAACTTTGGAACGAGAGACTATTATTACCGGGGCCATTGAGTAGGGCTTTGCATGGGAGGTGGCATTTGGGCTGGGTCTCAAAGGAAGTGAGGGATTCCAAGAGGCAGAGCTGAACATGGAGTGCATCTCAGACAAAGGCACGGAGCTGGGAGATTGAAGTGGAACAGAAAATAGGGGAGTTCAGTTGAAGCGTAAAATACATTAAGATATTACTCCCTGATGGTGCCCGTGCAATGCTCTTTGAACATATACCCCTTTCTCTTACCTTAATGTTTTTGCTCACACTTTTTGCCATGTCTGGAAGTGGTCACTTAGTGGTCATTTGGTCCAATTTCCTACCCCAAGGCAAGACTTTCTAACGGATCAAGCTTCTGTTGGTATATCTCTGGTGACGGAAAAGTTTTACCCTCTGAGGCAGCCCATTCATGGTGTGATGGTGAAAGATGAAATGATTATAGATAAATACAAATGGTAATAGATTTAGTGCCGAAAAGGACCTTAGAGGCCATCTGGTCAAATCTAGTTTTATAGATGAGAGCCACTGTGGCCCAGAATGGTTAAACAATTTCTGTCTGAGATCGTATGAGTAGAAGCAAAGGTGGGCTGGTCTGTAGGACAGTTCTAAATGCTAGAAAGCCATTGATATAAAGACTGGTAATCCACCTATGCTTGTCCCTGCTAATCTCTTACTAGACCTCCTAAACACTTTCCTATTATGGGCCACTGTTCGGTGTATTTATTTATTTGTTTGTTTGTTTGTTTATTTATTTATTTTTGTTGTTGTTGGTTTTGTTTTGTTGGACTCTCAAGGAAAGGAAACAGAATTTCATTGTAGCAAGAAGGATTTAAGTTACATCCATGGAAAAATGGCTTAGCAGTGAGCATTGTTAGAGATTATTAAAGACTCTCTTCTCTGGAGATATCCAAAATCACTTAAAGTACTATATAAATACAAGCTATTATTATTAATGTGGCTGGGGACATTTGGAGTGGGCTTGTGGGAGGCAGGGAGAATGAATTGGGTGTATGTGTGTATGAGGAGCTCTGATGAAGGAATCCTAGTTAGTTCAGGAAAACCTGAACCAGAAGAATCTTTAAAAGTTTAATTGGGGGTGGGACAGCCAGGTGGTACAATGGATAGAGCACTGGCCCTGGAGTCAGGAGGAGTCAAATCTGGTCTCAGACATTTGACACTTCTAGCTGTGTGACCCGAGGCAAATCACTTAACCCTGATTGTCTATACTAGGGAAGAACTTTTTTTTTTTAAATCCAGGGAACCAGGGTGAAGGCATCCTTCAGGAGGGCCCAGAAATCTTTGGGTCAGATGAAGGCTATATCTATAACATTTTTGCAGGATGTCCAGAAACCCAGGGGAGAAATCTTTGGAGGAGTAGTCAGAGAAGTGCCTTCCTGAAGCCAGGAGAACCCAAGCCCAGAGATACAATTCTCTCTCTGATTCTAAAGGCAGCTGAAGATCCTAATAGCCTGTTCCCAAGCTAAATTTATCTTGGCTAGGAAGCCAAGAGCTTTTAGGAAGGCAGATAAACTTTAGAGTTGGAGCCAGGAAGATGTGAGTTCAAATCCCTGCTAGCGGTGTGACCCTGAGCCAGAAGTCCAGAAGACCTGAGTTCAAATCTGGTCTCACACACTTACTAACTGTGTGTACTTGGGTGAGTCATTTAACCTCTGTTTGCCTCAGTTTCCTCATATGTAAAACAGAGAGAATAATATCACGTACCTCTAGAGTTGTTGTGAGGCTCAAATGAGGCAATATTTGTAAAGCACTTAACATAGTGCTCAGCATATAGCACATACTATACAGATGTTAGCTATTGTTATTATATTAGTAAAGTGATTTGCAAAACATAAAGTGCCATGTAAGTGTGAGTTTAGGCTGGCTATTTTCAGACCAGATCTAGAGTTTTAACCTGGCATATTAGGACAGATTTCAGGGCACAAGGAGTCTGCAAACTTCGATGGAAAAAAATGATCTTTATTCTCACTAACCTCAAACTGAAATTTAGCATTTCCTTCAATTATTTTTTTTTTAAATTGTCTTGAGAGCGGTCCACAGGCTTTACCAGACTGCCAGAGGAGTCAAAGCACAAAAATAATGAACTTCTGGTCTGTACAGAAGAAAGGGAATTTGGTCAGGGACAGAGGGAGCTGAAAAAGACCTGGGAGACTCCTTATTTCGCCCTCTTAGTTGCTATTTTGTAGCCCTACATGTTTCCTTATAGCGATAACAATGAAAACATTTGAAAAGTCTAAAGAAGGGCTGTGTGCTGATGTCTGGGAGCTGGGGCTAGAGTCACACCCTATTCTCAGGATAAGAAGATAGTTAGAGTGGGAAACCTGGAGGGGGCGCTCATGAGCCAAGTCGTGAAGCTTACTGCTGGAAGAAGATTCTATATAGG